ATGGGGCCCCTCCCTGCTCAGGGTGCCCTTAGCCGTTGGTTCAGACAGTGGCCAGAGTGCTGCTGGGCTGCCCTGCCCTGGGTGCTCTGTCGTGGAGCCGGGCCCATGCCCTACCAGGTGGATGGATGTTGGGGGGTCAACACCAGTGTTCCCTGTGAGCCGGGTGCTTGGGTGGCCGCTCAGGGGAGAGGCTGATGCCACCCGGCTGATTAGCAGAGCGCCCACCGCGAGGTTTTTTTTTTATTGGTGGTGCACATTTGCACGTGCCGTGGTGCACAGAGAAAAATGTATTCCACACACGGATGGAAAAATCCTCACATGGCTGGAAAAGATTAAAGGGAACATTGGTTGGCACCCCACTGGGTATCCCAGCTAGGTGCTGGTGGCTCTGGAGGGCAGGGTGTTAAAGTCAGAGCCCAGCGGGTCCTCTCTCCCATTGACCAAGAACCATGAGTCAGACCCCCCCCAGGTTGAAATGTGAGTTCCCCATACACTCCTGCTGCAGCAGTCACTTTCTACCTGCCGTCTCCCCTCCCTGGGCAGAGACCAGGGACAGGGGGGCTGACCGGTCTTTGAGTCCCCGGTGCCCCCCCCGCTCTGTGGGACCCCAGCCGTGTGAGCGCCCGTGGGGAGGCCACAGGTCCCTGTGGTTGTGCGCTCCCTCCCAGCCGGGCTGTGGGCTGGGAACCGTGGTAACACAGGCCTCCCTTGCAGGTTACTATAACGGCCACACCAAAGTGGCCATTAAGAATCTGAAGCAGGGCAGCATGTCCCCCAGCGCCTTCCTGGCGGAAGCCAACCTCATGAAGAGCCTGCAGCACGCCAAGCTGGTGCGTCTGTACGCCGTGGTCACCCAGGAGCCCATCTACATCATCACAGAGTTCATGGAGAAAGGTAACACAAACCGCCCCCCACGCACACGTGCACACGCACGCACACTGATCTGCCCCAGGGCACGGGAGAAGCCCAGAGCGCACCAGGGCCGTGCGAGGACACCGGCTTGCTTTGTGCCAGGACCTTCAGCTGGGGGACGTCTGCAGAGAGCCCAGAGCAGAGAACGCGGCCGGGGGGAGGCCGGTAAAGCCCTGTGGGCTTTGCTTTTGGGGTCCTAGTGACCCCCCCTCCCAAAAAATGGGGAGACTGAACTAGGCAGAAGTGTGGTCCAGTGGTTAAGGCAAAGACTCGGGATGGCTGGGTTCTGTTCCCAGCTCTGCCACTTCCTCACCGTGTGACCTTGGGTGAGTCACTTCGAATGCCCGCTGCCTCAGTTTCCCCAGCCTTCGCATGGGGATGAAGGCAGCTGGCTGGGGCTAACAGGGTTTGGCACCTAACCACTAGCTGTTCGTGGCGCGCTGGGTGGTGGAAGTGGCCCAAGAGGGGCGCCGTTATTGCAAAGCCTCTAAATGCTCCATGGTGCTTGTCCCCTTCCCACGTAGACTGGCCCTACAGGACAGCTCCATGCAAACTCCCCAGTCCCTCGGAGAGCTGAGCCTGGGATAGGGGACAGGAAGCCACCCTGGGCTCGTGCGCTGCCTATTGTCTCACGCAGCCTGTGATTTCCTTCGCTGGCTCCGAGTGCCAAGAGCAACCGGATCAGGTCACGACCCCCCCTTATCCAGAGGGTGGGACAGTGACACTAGCCAAACTATTCCTGGCAGAGGAGGAGGGAGGCCGGCTGGAGCCGGGGGGAGCGGCAGGG